AGGGAGGCAGGGCGCTAGGCAGGGAGGAAGGAAGCGAAGCAAGGGAAGGAAGCAAGGAAGGAAGGAAGGAAGAAAGAAAGAAAGAAAGAAAGACTAGTATCAATAAACAGGGAAGAAGGCTGATGAAGACACGGTAGAGAAGATTTGAGCACAGCCCCCGGAAGACTGGCCAGAGATACAAGTCAGCAGAGGCACATTCCCTTTGTTGCCTGAGACGAGGTTAACACTGTTGGTTTCTGCACCATTCATCAGTTGTCAAAAGTATGAGCATAATAACTTCCTTAGGTGACACACTTTGTAGCCCAAGTACAACAAAACTTCCTTGAGTACCCCAATCTAAATGAATACATTTATGAAAAATGGTCACTTCACATTAGCTTCTTTGGAGCAATTTTAGTTTTCTACTGCAACCTTTTCAATTCATAAAATCCCTTGCTAAATGACTGGTTTAGGTGCCTGATTTGGGCTGCTGGTGAGAACTACCAAGGGATGCAGCCTGCCAGCCCCTCCACCTCTTCTCCCCGCAGGCCTGGAGTATGGGCCTCCTCCACTTGGGGTCTGCATTCCTTTCCCAGCACAGGGCCTGCCCCAGGGAGGGGACCTCCTTCCAGAGCACTCTTTCCCATGGTCCCTGATGTCTGTGTTCTGAGATAAGAGTAAGTCTTGTGCTCCATCCCCTTGGCGGAGCACTTGCTTATCACTAGGCAAGGCAAGTATCAGTGGAATGTTTCAAAGTGCTGCTAAACAAATTCCAACGCGGTCCAGATCACCTGGCTAAGCTAAGCGTCGGAGTGCCTGCCAACCCTGGCATTGACAAGCTCCTGGAGCAGGTCACCAGCTTCAGTGGAGATAAATGTCAGCTTGTCCTATTGCATTGAACCCGGCAAGCTGACCAGGAAGAATATAAGCACCACAAGGACTGGGATTTTTGCTTGTTGTGTCCTCTAATCTACCCCCAGGTATACCTGGAGTGCTACCAGAACAGTCCCCAAAAGAGTGCCAGGGACAGAGCTGATACTCAAGAAACGGTTTTTAGAAAATTGAGTTAAAGTTTTCTTAGAGTGAGCAATCTGTTCTTGAACTTCATTATAAATGGAACCATCTAGTATGTACTCTGTCTGATTCTGCCAGATTTTTAAACTCGAAATGTTATAGAGACTTATCCATGTATTAGTGGTTTGTTCCTTTTGATTATGTGTAATATTCCATGCGTGAATATTCCACAATTTGTTTATTGATTCTCCTGATGATATTTGGTTATTTCCAGTTTGGGGCTACAATGGATAAAGCTTCCCGAAACGTTCTTGTGCAAGTCTTTCTGTGGGCACATGTTTTTATTTCTCTTGGGTAAATACTTCAGAGTGAAATTGCTGGATCATACGGTAGGGTTTACTTTGCAAGATGCTGCCAAACTAGCAATAAATATTGAGCCCTTTGAGACATATCCAAATAAGTTGTTCTTTCCATTTGAAATACCCTTTCCCTTTCTTCATCAATTATAGTAAACTTAATTTTCAGAAGTTTGCCACCTCCTACATAAAGACTTCCTTGATTGCCACAGATGTATTTAGCAATTTTAATGTTTAGCAGCTACATATTGCATATCTACTAGGTTCCTTGCATTTTATTATTTTCTGAGGCTCATAGAGGTGAGAATCAATCCTTGTCCCCAGGAAACTCACCATCTAGTGGAGAAGTGATAATGGAGGCAAGTGAGGTGCGCACAGGAGGCTAAGGGGCTGCAAACACATAATTCAGTCTGAGCAGTTTTTCTAGGACTGGACACCTCAGTTGAATCTAATAGTTGGTGTGGAAAAAGAAGAGGACGTTCTAGGCAAAGAAAACTGCGGATGCAAAGAGAGGTGAAGGAGCAGGCTTTATTTAGGGACCAGTGGGTCCCCGAGGCTGGGGCGCTGGGTGTGAGTGCGGGCCAGGGGAGGTACGAGGGAGACAAAGTGGGGTACTGAACAGCCAAGACCCAGATCACAGAAGGCCTTGAATCAAGCCGTATTAAGGCATTTGGACTTTACCTCGAAAACAATGGAGAACCACTGATGACCTTAAGCGGAGGGGGTGACATTAGAATTGACCTGCCCTCCCTCTTCCCCGCTTCTCCACAGCAGTTGGCTTGACGTTGATCACACCACTTGTTTCAATCTGCCCCTTGCTGCTGTGGTCTGCACGCCTGCCTCCTCCCCATCTGGCCCGCAAGGTAAGCCTTGTGTATGTCTGTGGGTCTACATGACGCCAGGTTGCCCGTCGGCAGGCGTGTATACTGTAGGCACTAGTGCTTTGTGGGTGTTCGATACATAGGAATGAACCATGACTTCCTAGACCATCATCACCCTCGGGGCTGCTAGACTGAGATTTAAGGAGGGTGTTATTTTCATTGAGTTGCAGGTTTCATTGAAACAGATCTCAGAGGAAAGTTCTGACTCTAAGATCAAAGAAAGGGGGGAAAATCACACACAACTAAGAGCCCTCCCACCCAGAGTCCCACAGAGGTATTTTGGGGGTGTTTTGCAGCAAAAAACCTGGTTGCTTTTCTCTAGATGGAATTTCCGTCTAGTGAACAGATGGCATTATTTTCATATGAGGAGCAAAAGAATGTCATGTACTCAAACACTGAAAGCCTAAGAAAACACACAGAGCAGGGGCAGTAATTCGAGTGGGGAAAGAACAGGATAAGTCAACAGAGAGCTAGACTCTGTGCGAAGCCAGAATCCAGCCAGCCATGTGGTCTCTGCAGGGGTGTCGAAGTTGGGGGTGCGTAGGCACTGAGGTGGCGGGTGCTGCTGAAGTGGACCCTGGGCCGGGCTAGGGTCTCATTTACAAGCCAGCTAAGACATTCTCCCTCTCCTTAGAATGTTCCTGTTTTGCGGGTGGCCCTGAGAATTCAGAGGTGAATCGAGACAGTCCCTGCCCTCAGCGGGCTTTCAGCATGGTGGCAGAGACAGTTTCATGAAAGACCTGCAAAGGAAATCAGCACAGAGCCCCTACCCCAGCCTGGAGGAATCAGAGAGGCTCTAGGACAGCGGTTCTCAACCTGTGGGTCGCGACCCCTTTGGGGGTCGAACGACCTTTTCACAGGGAGTCGCCTAAGACCATCGGAAAACACATATATAATTACATATTGTTTTTGTGATAAATCGCTATGCTTTAATTATGTTCAATTTGTAACAATGAAATTGGGGGTCACCACAGCATGAGGAACTGTATCAAAGGGTCACGGCATTAGGAAGGTTGAGAACCACTGCTCTAGGGGAAGGTGACTTCCGAGCTGAGTCTTATGAGTTGACTGGAAGCTGGCCAGGAGGGTTGGTAAAAAGGCAAAGTAGAGGACAGGATTAAGGGCATTCAGGACCAAGGGGACAGTGTGTGCAAGGGCAGGGGTGTGCCAGAAGTAAGGTGAGTATAGGGACGTCATGCAAGCAGTTTGACATGGCTGAAGAGGGCCGGGAGTGGCAAAAATGAGGCCAGAGATGCAAGCTGAGGATTAGAAATATCTGAATATAGGGAAATATCTGAGCACAACATTACACAAGTTCATTACACAAATTACTTCTCAAACAAGGTGCACCCTATCAGTAAGCCTGTGTACAAGGTTGAGACACGGCATATTTGGTGACAGAACCACAATACCAAGATCAACAGGCTGCACAAGGAAGAATTCGTCATCTATTTATTTAATCTAAACACATACATAGAGCACGTGCCAAGCGCAGGAAGCCCCATGATGAATGCCATATTCCTAACAAAATGACCAGCACTAGGCACTCTGCCCAAGGGGATGCTCTGTAGACAGTTTGTTGAATGAATAAATGAATGGTCCATTTGGACCCTTGCCCAAAGACCTCCCAGTCCATTGGGAGAATCAGAGAGGTAAACCAGTGATTATGATATCAAATGATTACAATTAAGACAGAGCTGGAAATTCATCCTAAAAATGTCTCTAAGACTGAGCAAAGTGAAATAAGCAAATGAACAGATCTTCCGGGTGAAAGACAATAGGGACTAGTGGGGACTGCAGCCAGTGACTAGCATGTGCTCCTTCTAAAGGGAACAGTTGCTTCTCAACTCCAGGCAAATAAGGATCAAACAATGCTGGAAACTGGTGAAATGTCACTGTCTAACTTGGTTGCTCCCTCACACCCAGGGTTCCAGCATGATCATCCTGGTACCTACATGGAGGTGATGCCATAGAGAGAGGCAATTGTGAGCATGACAGAAGGCCTTTCTGGGTAGACATGGCATGGGACACCGTGACCTGCATTATCAGATGGGGACACCATAACCCTCACAGCCAAGAGGGCAAACAGTGCCAGGCACTGCCAGCAGCCAGGACCTTAGCCATGAGGCTCATGTGCACTGGTGAGGGCCTGACTTGAGCTCAATCCCCGGCCTTCTTGGTCCCGGACTGGGCTCCAGGGTAGCTCCTCCCCCGGAGAGGACCTGCGTTGCAGTTGCCAATTCCCTGGCCATAGGGATCTGTTTGGGGCTGTTTGCTCCGCAGAAGGAACAGGAGATTGTAGAGTGTCAGATTCCTGCACCCCTGCCTCCCCCACCACATAAAAGCTGCTGAGCAAACAGAGAAATCAAAGATGATTATAAGCTGCTGGAAACCCGCGTGCTTCCGCCTGGCTGCATCCCCTGCCAAACTGTTATGTAAGCTACAGCCCCAACTCAGGCAGGGAACCAAACAGAGATGCCATTGACCGGCTCATGACCGTGCATGACCACTCATCACCCACAGCTTTCCTCAGATCCTGGCACACCTGGAGCAGACCTGCCCCAGGGAGGGGAGGGCCACAGCACAAGCTTTCCCATCTGTGTTGGGATTTCCCTCCTGTCCCAGCCAGCTCCAGGCCTGGGCGGGTCAGTACTAGGAATTTACTTTGGCCTGATTCCAAGTGACTAAGACTGTCAAGCTCTGACATTCTGGGGTAGGTGCATGTTTTCACCCTCCGAAGTGAGTAACTCACTTAGGCTGAGCAAGTAATTCCTGGAGCCCAAAGTGACCTTCTGGCCAGAAAAGGCCTGGCCACACTGTTCTGATGACCGCTGTTTATTTCTATATAGGAAATATGGGCATCTCCTTCCGCCCTAAACCACCTACATGGACTTAGAAGAGATTTTCTTTGATATGTCAGTGACTTGGGTGAGTGAGCTGAATTCTCGGGCTTTATTTTCTCCTTTCTGCATCATAGGATGCAGAGTGAGGAGCTGGACTGGAGTATTCCTCATACTCAATGGCCGCTACAGCAAGTGCACCAGAGGTTTTCAATGTGAATTCCAACTTTTAGGCATGGTTATAATTATATCTGAAATGAGGGCCTGGCTATTTAGTGTCAGCAATGTTCAGGAGCTTATGTGTTCACTAAAGGCCTGATGCACAAAATTCGTGCAAGGGGCTCAGCCCTCACAGCCGCAGCGGCTGCCTCGGCCCTCGTAGCTCAGGCTTCATCTGGAAGGTCATTCAGCTGTCTGGTCTAATTAGCATATTATGCTTTTATTATTATAGATATCTATTCAACCCGGGGCTTCCTTTTCTCTCCCTTTTGCAGTCTTAACTGACCAAGCTCTACACGAGAGGCTCAAATCTCATGTAGAAGAGGCCTGGACTTTGGAGTCAGAGAGAACTGTTGTGGAGATGTAGCTTGGTCACTCAGAGGCTGTGTGACCTGGTGCCATAGCCTAAACATTGCTAAGTCCTTGGAATCTACCAGCTTCCCTTAATTTTCCTCCGTCCCATTAGAAAAGCACAAGGCTTCCAAAGAGGCTGGTCTGGCTTTAGGGAATTGCTGATGGTGTCTACTCCCATTTGTTTTGTCCCGGGAGGGGGAGTGAGTGGGCCCTGCGTGTAGCTCCTGTCCGTGGTTGGGAAGATTGCCCTAAGAGTGAGGAGCTGGACTGGGATCTTGGGCTCCAGGCCTTCATCTCTTTTCCTAGTAGCCCTGCAGGGAGCCCCTCGCAAGCTAGGGGCCTGGGTGGTTGTTCATCCCTTTCTCCCTCCTGATGACCTGGGTTTTAATCATGTAGTTGATGTAGATACCTCTTCCCAGGAAGATGGCTGGTAAATTCATATTCCTTCCAAAGGCATTTGAAAAAGCTCATATCCAAGGAGTTGCCTTTTCTAGATCCCAATCCATAGAAAAACCAATCAGTAAGTCCCTGAAGCCTGATAAGAGAAAGGGTTTATGGGGGCACCCCAGGAGCTCCATTGCAGGGAGAGAACAAACTCATATCCTGAGCACAATTTTTACTAAGTATTGCACTGTGACTACACCATGAAAGTAATAAATCACTCCCATTGAGCCATCCTCAGGCCTCAATCCTCTTCCTCAGGGAAGCTTTGCTTCCTACTGCATCAAGGTGACCTCTGGCTAGGAAATGAAATGTGGGTTTGAATTTAGGAAAGTTTGGCTTCTTTCCTATGGCCCAACTATCCCCATCCAGGGGGTAAAACTGCTGCTCCTAGAGACCAGTGGCTTCTGGGAGTGAACTCAACCAGCCCCTGCTGGTTTATTGGATAATAAATTCATGTGGACCAGCCTAAAAAAGAGATTCGGTTATTAAACAAGGGGTGTGGCTGGGATGGGGCTCTGGGAAGCAAGCCTTTTTGAGCATCTTTCTCCTTCTACCCAGCTGCTGGCTTCCTGCCTAGCTATCCCACCTTGGACCAGAAGCCTCTGCTGTGAAGCATCTTGTTTTAAGTGGTTCACCTTGAAGGTATTTTAAAACAGTAGGGAATGAGCTGGTAAGGAGTGGGGGTTTGGGAATCAAACTCATAGAATCACACTTCTGCTATTTCTAAGCTGTTGCTTTATCAGGCCTTATTTTTCTCACCCATAAAATGGAAATAATAATAGTATCTACCTCACTGAGTTGGTGTGAGGATTGATTAAAAATATTTCAAAAGCACTTAGCACAGGGCCGGTCATATAATAATAGTCTAATAATGGTAGCTACCATTAAGTTTAAAATGTGAGGCCCCTTTGAAAAGTAACTGTCGTCAATAGATTAGTCATTGAGTCCTAGCTGGTTTGGCTCAGTAGATGGAGCATTGGCCTGCGGACCGAGGGATCCCAGGTTCGATTCCAGCCAAGGGCACATGCCTGGGTTGCGGGCTCAATCCCCAGTGTGGGGGAGGGCATGCAGGAGGCAGCCAATCGATGATTCTCTCTCATCCTTGATGTTCCTATCTCTCTCTCCCTCTCCCTTCCTCTCTGAAATCAATAAAAATAAAAAATTTAAAAAATATTTAGATTAGTCATTGAGTGATCTAGACCAATGTGATGAAAAATAGCTTTTCCAACAAAGATCAGTTTCAAAGGTGAGTTGGAGAAGATAAATAGTTATGGAAGCATAAACTTAATTGCCTGAAATATTCTTTTTAATTGGAAAGAAAATGGGTAATTGGAGGGACTGCTGATGTGAAAACACTTGAGGAATTACCCATGGGCTTTCTCTGCTTTGCCATTCTGCTTGAAGAATCAAAACATTAGTAGATGTTTAGAGCAGTAAATATCTCTATTAAAGGCATTGTTTAGGGAGAAATGATGTCTAGGGGCTAGTTAGGAATATTGTGGCGATCTACTCCTGCCCCACCATTTACATCTCCAGATCCCATCTCACCACTTCGCCCCACACTCCAGTCATGTGGAGCTATTGCAATGTATGAAACATGCAGGCTCTCCTGCCTTGCATGCCCTTACATGCTCTCCTCCTGCCTGGGAGCACCCATCCCTTCACCTGACTAGCCAGGTGCACTTCAAGATTCAGCTCAGGTAGCACCTCCCCGGGAAGGTCTTCCCCAGCCACTGCTATTGGGGTTAGACAGGCTCCCAGGCTCCATGCTCAAGGCCTTTAGCACATTGTGTCACCTGTCTTCTTCGTTCTGTTGTGAGTACCATGGTACCTGGGACATGATAAATGGCCAAAAAGGTTAGCTAATGCTAAGGCTTTGGATTCTTCTGTCCCAGGCTGAAGTGGAACTCATTAGAGGAGACACATGAATTTGGTGAAAGGTGACTTTTTATACTTGGAGCATAAATCAGAAAACTTTAAAGGTTTCTCTTTCAAGGGTAGAATTAAAGACAGTGTAGAACTTGGTGGCAACATATTTTGTGCAGTGACTTCCATCCCCAGGGCATGAAACAATGACAGTCTGCGGGCAGTTTCCCTGGGTCAATGTAGATTCTTCTCAAAAAATTGCCACTTGTCTCAGTGCTGTGAGCAGGGTCCTCAGCTGGGAGGGGCCTCAGAGAGGGCGTGTCCTGCAGCCGCTTCCTTCCACTCTCCCAGGACAGCCTGGTCGGCTCTGCCATCTTCCTAATGCATATAGTGTCCATTGTGATGGACTCAATTGAGGAAATCAAATAAAGCAACTTCTTTGAGGTCACATAGTGACCAAGTTTTGACGTTCGGACCCAGGCCCACCTGTCAGATTCAGAGCATGTCAGCACTGTCTGTTCTTACCTGGCACCTGTAGGCTCGGTGACCAGAAGGACGGAGCCTCCCGGGATGAGGCTGAGCTGACAAACCCACATCTGTTTCACATGTACCCCAGACTGGATTGCATGGGTGCCTGTTGATCATTCGGGAAGCATTTTGCATCTCCTGCCTCTATTCTCTCTTTTATCCTGTGGTGGCCCCTGGGCCTGGGTAGGAAGACAGCCCTCCAGGGTGGATAAAGAGGGATCTTTATGCCTTATAATGTTATAACCTACCCCATGGCAGGAACCACTCTGCACCGGAAGTTATAGTAGAATTTCTAGTGGTAGGAACAGTGCCGTGGGTCAACGCGTACCACAATGGACTCCAACAATCTCTTCAAATAGATAAGTTGGACAAGCGCTTTGAACCAAGTTTAATTGGTCTTTGCTGATTTTTTTTAAATAAACATCTAAGATTATTTGTTATAATTTTGGTATCTTCTTGGCATGAAATTTAGTCTTATAAAACACTCACTACAGGACACTCATCACTTTTTGGTTGAATTTTCAGCATTTCTGGTTCATAAGTCAAGGCAGCAGAATACATACAGTGGCAGCATAGAGTCCCATGCAAAGAACCCCTGGGCCCAGCAGCCAAGTATTGTCTGGTTGTGACCCCAGAGCGATAGCTGCCCTGTCCTTGGGCTGAAGAGCACCCCGGGACAGGTGAGCTGGCTGGCTGTGTCCAGGAAGGTGCACCCCAGTTCTGCTTAGCATCCTGCACTTAGAAAGGGAGTTGTTATTTCTGCCTCCGGGTAATCATCTTGACTGACAGCATTCTTCCCCTTCAAAACGGTGAGCCAGCACAGAGGTAAAACAGGAGCTGGTTCAGAGATGAAAACCCAGCCAGTGTTGACGAAAACAGACAGAAGCACAAGGCGGACCCACAACAAGTTAGCCTTGCTGTTCCCTCACCGGGCGATCGTCCTGTGGATTTGGCATGAGACACCGATCTGGGGGAGAAGGCGAAGTCTATGGCTATGGTTGCCTTTTCTCCTCCAAGCCAACCAGTGCCTTGTTTTTCTGTGAGCCTGCCACTGTGGGAAAATTGCGAGAGGATAAAGTTTCTCTCTTTGTCCCCAGAGCCCTTCATTTACCAGGGAGCCAAGCTGGGAACAGAGCCGCCTCTCACCCAGCTCATGAATGACTCCGTTTTCTCAGGGCAGCCTCTGCCTGCCCATTGTCTAACTGTCATGCCCTCTTGTGTAGGTGCTCCCTGCCGTCTCCGCTGTTACGTAACGCCTGTGCAGGGAGCGTTGCGTGAGAGCGAGAGGAAAAACCCAGAGGACAACCAAGACCAACACGTCTTCCTAGAGGAGAAAGAAAAAAAAAAAGCAAAAACCAGAACAAACGCTAGTCGTTTGTCTGCTCTTTGGCGTTGGCTTGTTTGCCTGAGGGATACACTCTGATCGCTGGCATACAAAGCCCCCGGCTGGCTCCAGTGAATGCTTCTGTTTATACCCATGAAATGAGACATGCTGTACCCTCGTGCCCACGCTGGTGCAGCTACCACCGCGGTCCTCCCACAACACACTGACAAGAAACCCTACTCCTCTCTCTCAGGGCCGACAGCAGGGGTGGGGAACCTTTTATCTGCCAAGGGCCATTGGGATATTTATAACACCATTCGTGGACCATACAAAGTTATTGACTTAAACATTAGCCTGCTATATCTGGTCAGATATTTAATTAACTCACCCCTCATGCCTGGCAGGGCCAGGCCAAATGATTTCAAGGGCCTTACACGGCCTGGGGGCCGGATGTTCCACACCCCTGGCCTGGAGGCAAGAACTTTCTCCCGCCTCAGTCACCGTTTTCTATGCCTCCCTCTCCTGCTATATCATTGGCCCACTGAGCCCTTCAGTCCTGCTCAGAGAATCACAGATGTCCTTGGGCTTGTCTCTGGCAGTTTCCAGGGGGCCTTGACTCTTCATCAGAGTTCAGGTAGGAAGGCAGCTGTCACCCAGTGTCCATGAACCATGCTCCTGTCCCTCACATTCACACCTTCGCCAGGTTCTGGGCTTACATGTTATCTCTCACCGATTTGGTCACACTACCGATACTGTGGTGAATGAAGGAAGGTGGGGCTGTGCTTGCCATACTTTCTCTGTCTGCCCCGGCATTTCCCCCAGGCCGGTGCTGCAGAATCCCAGCCCTGAAGCCTCAGGGAGCAATGTTATGGCAAATGGAATTGGATTCCAGGCTGTCATAGGTCATAGCGCAATGCACTACTCGCGTGTTTATGGTGATGCTGGTGTAGACAAACCTACTGCGCTGCCAGTTGTGTAAAGAACAGCACTTACAATGGCACATACAGTTCGCAGTACTTGATATGATAATAAATGACTATGCTGATATTTATGTATTTTCTATACCATACTTTTTAATCATTATTTTAGAGTGTGCACTTTCCACTCATAAAAAAAGTTTGCCGTAAATAGTATGTCATGTTATGCTGGCAGCAGCCTCATATATCTCGTGTTTACTGTGTTTTTTGATTGCATCATTTTCTCTTGTGCTTGATTTAATCTCGGGTTGTTTTGTACAGTAATAGCCTGTGCAGGCTTGGAGCCTGGGAGCAGTAAGCTAGACCATGTAGCCTGGGTGTGTGGCGGGCTATACTATCCAGGTTTGTGTTAAGTGCACTCCATGATGTTTGCACAAAGGCGCAGTTGCCTAACGATGCATTTCTCAGAATTATCCCCATCACTGAGTAGTGCACGGCTGTAAAAAGAGAAGAACAAGAGCACAGGTGGACCCCAGTGGAGACATTCTGGTCCTCACAGAAGAACAGGCTGCAGAATAATAATTTTAGCAAGGACTTGAATAAAAATATCACTGGCAGTTAGTCCAATTTGCATATTTTGTAAAGCTAGGTAAGACAAAAGAAATATGTTGACAGAGCCAGGCCGGTGTGGCTCAGTGGTTGAGCATTGACCCATGAACCAAAAACACTGGTTCAATTCCCGGTAGGGAATTATTCAAGTCCTTGCTAAAGCCCTGTCTGCAGCCCTTTCTTCCCATGTGTCCAGCTCACCAGGAGCCATTCCACAGGGAGGATGGTGGATGCCTCTGTCCCCACTGCTCACCCCGACCTTCTGACTTGTCCCTCCACCCACTCTGCTTGCTCACCCTCGTTGTTTGAGCCCTTGGCTTTGGGGACTAACTTAGAGTAGGTTCTTCTGACTCTCCTCCTCGTTATAAAAACCATTAAAACAAAACAGAATTTTATCT